AAATTTGTTTAAGTTAAGTTCAGTTTGGTTTTTGTTAGGTTTAGATTCTGTTTAAATGGATTCATTATTAAAGTAAATTAATGTTAGCTGAATTTAAAATGTTTGTGAATATCAAAAGATGCAAAGTAATTTAGTCATTAACAAAACTAAAATTTTCTTTAGAATTTGTCTAAAATATTCCTTATGCAAATTCATCTACTCAAAGTATAGTCATCATACATATATTAAGCATTCCATATATGTATGTATATAATTCTGAGAGTTTTGCATTCACATATTCAGCCTACGAATTGCTGTTAATTCATCTCGCTGGCAAATACTTATATATATATATATAGGGGTGAATATATCATTTCTGCAGATTCATTTCTTAACCCTCGGAGCGAAGTGCTTGGCGTGGTATTTACATGAATGCCATATATGCCATTACTGAATGCATTATAAACCTCATCGCTGAATTGCAGCGAGCTTGACATTTGCCGTCGGCAGCGCACGGGTATAAAATGAAGTAAAATAAATACGAATGGTGTGTATGGTGTGTGCTATAATCGTGATATATGCGTTGGCAATTTACGGCTCCTTGATGTATGCATGTGTGTCTGTGTGGGCTTTAAGTGCAGGCACACATACAGAGAGACACGAATACTTGGTTTTAATATGGCAAATGGTGACAACGTCGACTGGCGTTGATGATGTACCTAAGGATGAGGAGGGATAGGACTGTTGTTGTCGGATGCTGCTGTAACTGCTTTCACTGTAGCTGCTGCTGTTGCTGCTGCTGCTGTTGCTACCGTGATTTGGGTTAAGTGTAGTCTGTATGCTTTTAAGTAGGTGTGTGTGGCATATATATAGATATATGTGTATACAAACATCAACATACAGATACATGGCTGTGTACGTATGCAAGCAACAGTGTCCTTGCCAATGCTTACACAAATACACACACACCCCCACCCACACACACACTCATACACACACACACACATACAAAGTTATAACAGCCTTACACATTTGCCAAATAAAGCGTGTTAATGTTTTGGCTGCAATGGCGTGTTAACTGCCTTCCATTTCGCTCGCTTGCGCATTACAAAACAAGAAATGAACAAAAAAAAAAAGAAAAAAAAATACAGAAGGAAGAAAAAACAAAAGCTCATATGAAATAAAAACAAACGAGATATGCGAAAAACATAACAACAAAAACACAAAATAGAATAATATGTTGAAAAGCTGCAGCAACACAAAGTCGAATTCAGCCTTCGTTTGTGTTTATTTGCTGCTGCGAATGTTACTCATACGCACTGTGCTACGTACGGGCACTTATAATTACAGTTACACCGGGCGAGCGAACATTTTAATAGACTTTTTGTTTTTTGCCTCGCTTATGCCTAT